GAGGACAGAGTGGAACTGCCCCACAGGGTTTCCAAGGCTGTCAGTCTTCACAGAAGCAAAGCCCAAACCACACCCACTGCCGTGGAGTGGATTCTGACTCACAGCGCCCCTAGAGGACAGAGTGGAACTGCCCCACAGGGTTTCGAAGGCTGTCAGTCTTTACAGAAGCAAAGCCCTAACCACACCCACTGCCGTGGAGTCCATTCTGACTCACAGCGCCCCTAGAGGACAGAGTGGAACTGCCCCCTAGGGCTTCCAAGGCTATCAGTCTTTACGGAAGCCGACTGCCACATCTTTCTCCCATGGAGCCGCTGGTGTGTTTGAATCACTGACCTTTTGGTTAACAGCCAAATGTGTTGGAACCAGAGTTCCATCATCTCCAGCCCAGCCTACTCCCTCAAATCTAATGTTGATGCCTTTCCCTTCTACTTCCATAGCATAGTGTGCAAACAATGATCATTTAATTGCCTGTTCACTTTTCTGTTTTCCATCTAAATCATGAGTTTATTGAAGGCAGCACCTGGTTCTCATTCCTCATAATATTACCATGTTGTAGCTTAGGGACTCACCGTGTGTGTGTGTGTGCTGTGAATAAAGGAATAAATGGATGCATGCACACTGAGCACTAACCGTAGCCTAACAGCCATCGACTACTGTCAGGTTGTTTTAAACAGCATTTTCACAAGGATGCAGAAAGCTTCTTTAGGAGATTGTCTCGTGTCAGCCTTTGAGAAAAGCTGCATGCGTAATGTTGGTAGTTTTTCTCTAGCAACACAGAGGAATTTTCTGATGATCCAGCTTTAATAGCAATATGTTTGTTTAAACAGCAAGTCAGGAGCAAGAAATGATTTGTGAAATCCACTGATGGATCACGCCTCCATTTCTAAGACGATAATAAAATATAGAATGGAAGAGAATAAAATAGAAAATATGGCACATCACATGTAGCAAGGCTACATATTGTTTTGTGAACTTTTGTTGTTTTACACAAACCCGCCAAAAATGTGTGTGTGTGTATGTATACACACACACATATTTATACACACACACATATATATATGTATATAATCAAAACCAGGTTCACTGCCATTGAGTCAGTTCCAGCTCACAGTGACCCCCACTGAGTTTCTGAGGCTATAAATCTTTTCAGAAGTAGATCACCCCATCTTCCTTCTTCAGAGCAGGTGGTGGATTTAAACCGCTGGCCTTCTGGTTAGCAGCCAAACGGTTTATCTACTATGCCACCAGAGCTCCTTATTTATGTAGATATATGTGTGTATATCGCTGACCTTTTGGTTTGCCACTGAGCGCTTAACCACTGCACCACCAGGGCTTCCCAGACAGTGGTTAAGCACTTGGCCGCTAACTAAAATGTGGGCTGTTTGAACCCACCAGCTGCTCCATGGGAGACAGATGAGGCAGTCTGTTTCCATAAAGATTGACGACAGCCTTGGAGACCCTGTGAGGCAGTTCCACTCTGTCCTCTAGGGGCGCTGTGGGTCAGAATGGACTCCACGGCAGTGGGTGTG